GCTTTATGTTATTAGATAATTGGGATATATAACACATGTGACTCCATATACAGGTGTACTTGCCTTCATAATACTGCTCCAGGTTTATGCTGTACAATTTGAAAACTACAGTAAATTTTATTTGGCATCATTTTTTAAATAATAAAAATCTCCAGTGCTTTTAAAATTGTATACAGTATATTATCAAGTGTATTTCAGGTAGGGAAGAAATTCTGTTGTTTCGTGCATCCATGAGAAATTAATCCTCTGCTTCAAATTACACATTTGAGGCTGGAGAAATTTCACATGGACTGGCTTCTGGCTCCAAATGTTTTAAACCTTCAATCTCCTCCACTACCCACATACATCAAGTAATGGGTGCCTAGAAAATACTCATATCCCTATAGAACCTCTAACTTATACCCTTGTATCACCATCCTGGGGAAGACAGCAAAGCTGGCATTGGAAATATTCTGCAAGCTGTTCTAGAATGTTGAACAATAAACAGTACAATGAGCAGTAACTTAACTATACAAATGGTGACCTAGAACCACACATGTATGTTCCACTAAACCCAAGTTAAATGAATTCCCAGGTCTTTCCCTCAGCCATATCCAAAAACTGCCAGTAGCCACCTACATGTGCAAGTTGGACAAAAACTCATGGTCATGTGGGGGTATTGCTATGGTGCCTCCCAGGTCCTTGGAAGAGCAGGTACAATACAGAGCCTTAGCTCCGTCTAGGTTTGTATGAGATACCTCCAGAACAAGTCTTCTCTACTTTGGCACTACTGATGTTTGAGTCTAGATCATTCTTTGCTGGGGAGTGGGGAATGGGGGGTCTACACCCTGTAGGATGTGAGTTTAGAAGCATCTCTGACCTCTGCTCCCTCCGTACCAGTAGTACCTACCCCTGCCCCACTAGGGATACCCAAAATGTCTCCAGATATGGTTAGATATGCCCTGAGTGGCAACACTGTTTCCTGTTGAAATTCACTGGTCCAGAGAAAAGAGTTCAGACAGTGATTCATTCATTTAATGGACGCTTGCTGGATACCTGCTATGTTTAAAGTCCAGTGGAAAGGTGCTTTGCACGAGCCCATGGTACCAGTGGGAAGACAGATGATGAAGAATAAATTTCACAGACTGCAGAAAGGGCCATAAGGAAGGTCTTGAAGACACTAAGAATTTAAGACAAAGCTCCTTTCTGTGTCCCCAGGCTGCTGGGGGATCATGAGGATTGTAAAAGAAGAGATTACCCTGCATCTACTCCATCAAAGCGTCCTTGATGTTGGTGTGATAGAACCTGAACATGTATGGGGAATTACAGGAAACATTTCAATTAACCACAACAGTCAGTATTTACAAATCCTGGTCAGGGAACATGGAGAAAGTGTGTTAATCATAACCAGATGGAGGAATCCATCTGCTTTTCTCGTATTCTGGCAATTACCTTCCTTACACTATCCCAGCCACACTCATATTTGCGGTCTACAAATCCTAGGTGATGTTGACAATTTTATTCATAGAAGATTTGCCACGAGGGTTTATCCCAGCCAAATGGAGGGAGGTAGGTGGAGAGGCTAAATCAATAAGAGTTTAGATTGTGAACAGCACTGTATATAAATTAAAAAAACAAAAACAAAAGCAAAAAAAAAAAAAAAAACCTCACCTGTTCTGACAAAAATCATTCCTCCAGAACTCTTGAGATAACCCTGGTGTTGTTCTTACCCTATTGTATCTTTACCCCCAGTCAATTACAAAACCTATTGACAACAAAAATAAACAAACTCCAGGGTACATCAAAAATCGGCACCTGTTTGGCTCCGAGTGTCGTGTCCCTATCAAAAGTATTTGTGCACAGAAAGCCCCGGAACAGACCATATGACCCTTTGCTGAGTTGTTGGCGTCTCCGAAAATTAGTAATTGGAGAGGGAATGTCACTAATTCCCATTCCTCTGTTGGAAAGTTACTGCAGAGTCTTTTATCAACTGGAATACTACGTAACTGCTCGGCAGAAATGAGCTAACCCACTAGCTCTCTTCTGATTGCATGTAATCACAGGAGCCACTCAAAAGCATGTTCCTTTAATCTTTTTCTTTATCATCACTCTCTTTTGCTGATCTTACCTTAATTTGGCCATTCAGACCTCTTCTGGAGGGTGCTCCATGGCCCTTCCGTGGATTAATTAATCCATTATTGCAATAATTTCCACTTATATAGTGCTTGATCATTAAAAATTCATTTTGATATTGGCAAGAAGTAATTTAACATTGTGGTTTTAAAGTGGTGTTTCCTCAAAATTTACAAGAAAAATAACATATGCTAATGCATTGAACCCATAATTCCAGGATCTCACTGCTAGGAGTGAGGTTAAACTTACTTTTTTTTAAAAAAAGGAAAATGATAATGCAAATGTCGCATGGCAGAGCAAAACTCATTGAGGAGGGTGTGGATTGATGACCTTCAGAGATCTCAACTCACGCCAGGTCTTTGGGGCTGAAAAGCCTAGAATGACACCTTCTCCTCTTGCTGGGGCTCAAGGTTCTTGCCTCTGAAATGGGGCTAATCCCTCCCATAGTGTTGTAGTGAGGATCAAAGCAGACAATCTGTGTAGAGAGTCCAGCACTGTGCCTGATATAGAACCACAGTGGAAACTTGGGTCAAGGAAAAAGCTATTAGTCTGCCACGGAATCTCACTCCTCTACACACACTTGCACACACACCTAAGCATACCCACTCACACTGCCATTTTCATTGTAATTCCACAAAGAAGCTGGTTCTATAAAATAACCAAATTAACAGGCTTTCGCACCCACAAGTTGACCAATTACACACTGGAGGAAAAGCCTGCATCAGTTTGGTCAAGACAGGCCCACAGCATTAGCTGGTTGGTTACTTAACTGATTGGTTATTTGGCTAATCGGCTAATTCGTTACTTATGTATAAGACTTGTTTCTCTATATCCTCTATTAAAAACAAAAACAAAAAACTCATCATTGCTGACATTGAGGACCGGATAACTCTTTGCTGTGGGGCCTCTCCCATGAATTGCAAGATGTTAGCAGAATTCCTAGCCTCCACCCACTCCCTCCAAGTGCACCCACCCGCTCTAATCGTGACAATGAAAAGTTCTCCAGATATTGTCGTGTGTCTTCCAGACCGAGAATTATTGCTCTAGCCCAAACCTCCAAGTGGCTTATACCCACATTAATATAAGTGGTCCATCTTGGGGAAGGGGACCATAAGGAACTTTGCGTACGGCACATTGAGGAAACTCAACTGTTAGACCAACCCCTTGGAGGCCACCTGCAGCAAGGATTTTCACAATTCTTTAAGGTCTGCAGTCATATTTATGTTCTGATTTGGTCTGTTAATGGTTATCAGGGCCTCAAGGTCTCCCTGCTATATCCGGGCTTCACCAGAATCTAGAACTCTAAAAGCCATAATGGTGAGTTCCATGAGTGCATTCATCACTGAGCTCATGAGTTTAAGTTTCAGGACCCAGAGCCTGCACAGGTCCCTTCTGAGGTCCTTAACTTAATTTTGTATATGTGATTTAATGTTCTCTTCCAAAAGAGGGTCCTCCAATGGGAGGGATTTGGTTCCCATGAAATCTGGCTCTCCCCTTAGACACCATGCCCCATCTGTTCTCCACTGTACCCTCAGCACCTCCACAGTGTCTGGAATATGATAGATCCACAGCGAAGTTTGCTGAGTGACTGAGTGACCGACTCAATGAATGAACAAAGTCAACAGTGATTTATACGCTTTGGAAAACATAAAAGGCCACAATAAATTCAGGGCCGTGATCTATTGTCTGCTGATTTAGATAGACAGTGAAGGCCACTGGAGTTCAGAAGAGAGAGATCACTTCAGCTGTGATGGAAAGGAGATATTACAAGCCAATCATAGAATCACAGAGTTTAAAAACAGCATTATAATGAACCACAGTACGCTATTACCTATGGGACCGACTCAGAATTATACTCTGATCCTCAGTCCCAGCTCCACTGCTTATCAGGTGGAAATCAGCCAACCACTCTCTAAAATGGGCACAAAAATAGTATCGATAGCATGCGATAGTTGTGAGGTTTGGAGGCATGCCACCAGCAAAGTATGGGGCATGGGGTCCAGCATATGGCAGGCGCTCAGTACATGTTAGCTAATCATGTTACCGATTGGTCCCAATGGGTCAGGCATCGTGCTAAACGCTTTCCAGACGCTAGCGGGGAAATGCTCATAAGAACAGGGAAATGTGGCCATTTTCTGAGTACCCCTGCAGTTCATCAATGTACAAGGTAATTCACCACGTTCTCGCTTTAATATTCATTGCAACTCGATAAGTTAGGTGTTATTCCAATTTTGCAAGTGTGAACTCGAACTGAGAGGAGTTAGTTATGTGCAAAGAGGTTAAGCGAGAGAGTGGAGACAGACCACAAGCCACCCAATGCCAGGACTGATATTTCTGCCAGGTTGATTCTATCCTACCAGCTAAGAGCTCAGGGATCAGATGAAAGGGTTCAGATCCTGGCTCAGCCCTGCTTACACCTTAGCAACTTATCTAACCTGTTAAATCTCAGTTTCCTTATCTGCAAAACAGATACCTATGTCAAGAAGTTCTAGAAAATACTAAGAGACACAGTGCATGTGAATGACAACTCAGGGCCTGATACATGAAAAATGCCCAAATCTTCTAAGTACTGCTCTTGTCCAAAAGTATGAAAAAGAAAACACTATATTTGCCCACTTTCAAATCCCAATTTAATTTTTTTTTAAGAGAGAATAGAGGGAGAGGGAGAAGGAAAAGCAGGCTCCCCATTGGGCAGAGAGCCCAACACAGGGCTCAATCCCAGGACCCTGAAATCATGACCTGAGTGGAAGGTAGATGTTTCACCAACTGAGCCGCCCAGGTACCCCTCAAATCCCAATTTTTTAAAAAATATTTTTTATTTATTTGTGAAAGAGAGAGAGAGAGAGAGCATGAGCAGGGTGAGGGGCAGAGGGAGAAGCAGACTCCCCGCTGGGCAGGGAGCCCAATGAGGGACTCGATCCTGGAACTATGGCTGATCCGCTAAGAGCCACATTCTGGGGGCAAAGTGGGAAAAGATCATGAGGACCAGGGTCAAGAGAGAGGTGAATCCTTTGAAGTTTAGAAGTACACGCCCCAATTTCTCTGCCACAGAGCCACCTAACTCAGGGTGTTGGAGGCATAAATTTTCCTCTTAACATAGGTGACCTGTGATCACGTTGAGGACATGGGGCTTCCTAGGATAGCAACAGTGGCCTCCAGAAAAATGGTAGCCAAATCTTTGGTTTTGAAGGTTACTAATCTTTACATGAAATTCCTAGTGGTGGCAAGGGGAATACAGTTTAATTTCATTCAAATTACACTACAAAAAAAAAAAAAATTAAGGGGAATAATTATGAAAGTAAGGTCAACTCGATTTCCTATAATAATGTTTTTTGTTACCAGTCTCATAATTGCTAATTCTTTTCATAATCTTTGCCATCCAACCTCATTTGTTTCATTTATAAGTGGCAAGAAATGCACATCACCGAATGGCGATGAAATCAAGACAGCAACATGTCACTTGGGTGATCTCTGGAGAAAGTAATTCTTGTCTCTAGTTAACCTTTTAGGGAAAAACTCGACTGAATATTCCCAATGTAGGTGTTACATTTGTCAAAGTGAAGTTTTCCTCTTCTGGATCATTCAGTCATGCATCCTGGCTTGAGACGGTAGGGGCTTTTGCCAAAAGTTGAAGTTTTATCCTGCTGTTCTGAATACTTATAAACCAAATTAAAAAGCACTCAAGGAGGTTTTAAATGGGCTTTTAGCGTAACCCAAAACACATACACACACACACACACACACACCACACATACACACATCCATGAATTTTTAAATATGCAAAAACTCCTCTCACTTAGACTACTGTTTAAAAAAAAAAAAAAAGATCTTGCACATTCATTACCGAAGACACTCATATTTGAGATTTAATGTGCCCCCATTACTGTAGTTTGAACCTGTACTATTTGGCTTTATGAAGAATCTCAGAATTGTCAGTAAAAAAAAATAAAATAAAATAAAAATAAAAGCTCAGATCTATTTTAAACATCTCATATCATAGAATTGGCCTTCCATGGCTAGAAGTTTCCTCTAACCACAGGGTGGGCCAACGTTTGAATTATTCACACCTGGGCCATAGTGGCTTTAAATACTTTGAATATCTCTCGTTTTGCTGATCACTAAAGAAACATTCAAGAACAAACACACATGGTCCCTGTGATCCTAGACTCCACAACATATAATTGCATAAACACACAAACAAATGAAAGTATAATTACCAATTATGAGAAGCACATTCAAAGCAAGGGACAGTGCCCTCGCCAGCTGACACTATCACAAACAGCCACAGACTGGGGGTCTTAAATAACAGACATTTATTTCTCACAGTTCTGAGGCTGGGAATTCAGGAGCAGGGGGACGGCATGGCAGGTTCTGGTAAGAGCCCTCTTCGTGGATTCAGATGGCTGTGTCCTCCTATGAGGGAGAGAGAGGGCTTGGTTTCTTCCTCCTTTCCTAAAGATACTAATCCTGCCAGGGGGCTCTGCCCTCATGACCTCAGCTAAACCTCACCACCTCCTCAAGGCCTCACCTCTGAAGATCGTCACTTTGGGAATGAAAGCTTCAACATATGAATTTTGAGGGGACACAGACATTTAGACTACAGCAGACAGGTTAAAGAAATAAAGAAAACTTGAGGAGTGGAGAGGCCAGTCAGATCCCCCAAGTTCTCTCGGCCCACTCACAATGCCATCTGCTGCCTTGGGGGGGTGGCAGCCCCCCCTCACGCACCAAGGATTTCCTCCCTCTAGGTCCTGCCTCTCTTTGTTGTAGGGCTTTCTCTCATATGACATCACACTCAGCCCATGGCAGCAGAGGCCAGAAGTGCCAGATAATTAACACCTCTGGGAGTGACCCTCAATTGGGGGACGGGGGTAGGAATTGGTGGGTAACTACAACAGCTTCCTGTCTCATTACTGGACCAATTCTGAGGAGGTCCCACACAGTCTACCAGAGCTGTTATCTACAGTGGTAAATTTCTCATTAACATCACCTGTAATTGACTCTCTTATTCCTTTCCTGGGACTGATTCCTGGAGTCACCTCCCAAATGAACTACTCAGGTCTGCCTTTGGGAAACCTACATGAAGATCAGTATCTACTGTGGGAAGGTAAACTTCCACCTGGTCCCCGAAGGAGGAGAAGCAGCTCTCCCTGAGAGCACCTGGGAGGAAAGGATTTCACGGAAGAGGAAGAAACAGCATAAGCAAAGGCCCTGAGGTAGGGAGGAGTTATTAAACTGGAGCACCTGAAAGGAGCCAACAGGGTGGTATTACAGTGAGCAGTGTGACATGGGCTGAGGCCCAGGTGGTATTACAGTGAGCAGTGTGACATGGGCTGAGGCCCAGCTGAGGCCCAGACCAAGGTGAACCTGGCAAGCCACAAGAAGGAGTTAGGGCTGTGTTCTTAATATGTCTCCCTCCAGCAATGAAGAACCTAAGGCTTAGAGGTGTTAGAGTAAAAAAGGGAATGGTGAGTATATTTGAGTGAGAATCTAAACATGGGGAGATCTGAATACAGAGCCAATATTGTCAACTACTCTTCTACTAAACCTGAGGCTAAAATAGTTTAAACCAGTGCTTTCCTCTTGGTTTATACCAGGCTGGCGACCCGGTCTCTTTACCCACCTTCTTGACAACCATCTCTGCTTAGTCCCACTACCAGTATGACCGATCATGATGTCCATTTCTCAGAGCAGCTGGAAGAGCAGAGAACCTGCATTCCGAGCCAGTTTCTGGAGCATCCTTCTGCAACATCAAGATATATAGCCTCTGTAAATTTCCAGAGACGTATTAACGTTCACCTCCATAATGCCTTAATTGTACAGAAACCATTAGACAAGAGTGTTAAGGTGACAAAGGGACCCATGCAAATGGTAAAGAAAGAGAGCAAGATGCCTAAATTAAAAGGGGTGAAGGGTCCAGGACAGTCTTTCATGGGGGAAAAGATTCATGGAGATTCGCTGTCTTAACAAGAATGGACTACCTCATAAATTATCTCAATATGATGCCAGTAAGTCAAGAGGAACTTTTTTTAAAGTAGGAATTTGCGAAAGGTTAAATTAAAATGAAGGCTGAACAATTATTTTTGTCCTCCTGCCTAGCGGGGCTTCTGCTAATGTTTGTGTACAGACGTGATAACGGCGGGATACTTCAAAGCCTTTTCAGGGAAATCATATCATTGGTGAGAAAGGATTTGATTTTGTAAAAAGCTTATATTGTAAGTGATATTGAAAATAAAGAGACAAGATTGCATGAGCTAAGTGCTTTATTTTTGTTAGTGCTGGTGGGGTTCCGAAGATCCTCATCAGGCCTGTAATTGAGGTTTTAAAAGTGGGAATAGAGGAGTGTTTTCCATTGTCTTTGAAGATGGCAACCCTGACCCAGCACTGGAGGGCTGTGCCCTGTAAATTTTGTTTCCAGCAAATAAAAACGATTTTCTCCAAAGGCTCCCAGTTCTCTTGGCCAGGCCACAGCATTTTCCTAGGGAGGGGCAGGTCTGAGAGCAACCTGTGGAGATGGTCCTCATGCTTTTCTCGATCCATGCCCCACAGGGGTTTTGACTAACCTTACAGAGAGGAAGGAGTTAGAGAAACCAAGAAAAATAACATCTATTCCAGTAGATGGTGAGCAGCACCTGAGCAGAAAGCATATCTCCTATTCCTTTACAGCCTGAAGGCCTGACCCACAGCCCATAGCATTTAGGAGTTGCAGGCACTGTAAATAACATGAAACCCCACTATAATTTTGAATGTGGAAAGTAATTTTCCCATGCAACTGGAAATCTAGAGGCGGGTCCATTTTTTTTTTTTTTTAAGATTTTATTTATTTGAGAGACAGAGATCACAAGTAGGCAGAGAGACAGGCAGAGAGAGGAGGAAGCAGGCCCCCCGCTGAGCAGAGAGCCTGATGCGGGGCTCCATCCCAGGACCCTTAGATCATGACCTGAGCTGAAGACAGAAGCTTCAACCCACTGAGCCACCCAGGTGCCCCAAGGCGGGCCCATTTTAGAGTCATTAATTTCCTCCACAACATCATCCAAGAACCCATGCAATTTCAACATGTCTTTCTCATGAGCTAGGTCCACGGGTTAGCTTCCTTAAGGTTGTTTTTTTTTTTTCCTTTTTAAGATTATTTGTTTATTTGAGAGAGAAAGAGTGTGAGCAAGAGGAAGAGAAAGGGGAAGAGAATTTCCAAAGCAAACTCTGAGCCGAACATGGGGCTCAATCCTACGACCACAAGCTGATGACCTGAGCTGAAACCAAGAGTCAGACACTTAACTGACTGAGCCACCCAGGCACCCCAGCTTCCTTAAGGTTTTAAGATGTCTCCTAATTGTTTTTTTTTTTTTCCAAGAGCAAGAATAGCCTTTCTAGAAGCTTCCTAGAGACTTCATTTCATATTTCAATGCCCAAGAAGTTGCTTATGTTTATGCCTTAGTGAATGCACAGCCAAAGGAACAGGGTTAATGTGAATGGCTCAGATGATCAAGACCTACCCCTGGGTTTGGAGATGAAGCAAACTCCTTTCAAACTCAGGGCCATTTAAAGGGGGTGGGTTGTTGGACAAAGTTAATGACTCTGTTGGGAAGAAGAAACAGAAGGTAGGGAGTAGATATTGGCAATCAACAGTCTCTGCTAGAATAAGAAATTTCAGTAGACTTCTATTAAAGAAATCATGGAATGAACCAATGAGTCTCTCTCATGTCTTTCATTATTTCCTTCCTTGGGGTATGGATTTTATTATTTCCAGTGAGTGTTAGGTCTTTTGGCCTTTCCAGCATTTCCTTTCCCCTCAAGGTCCACAAACCCCATCATCAGTCTGTATGGTTTAATTGGCTTCCAAAACGTGTAGAGTTTTGTCCCATCAGTAACTTTCATGGCTGCTGCCATGCCGATTGGTTCACATGGAAAATTGAACCACCGAGAGTTAATTCAAAGGGAATATGAGGAAGGTGAATGTCTCTTCCCAGCAGAATGAAGTAGGAGTTTCATGTTTCCATAACGTAATCCTGGATGTATTTGTCTGGACTGTGGGGACACACACAAGAGTGAATCTAACACAGAGGAAAACAAAACCAGGAAATGGGGACAGACTAAAACTTGATACAGATTTGACTCTGGATCTAGGCACAAATGGATGAGCTACTTAAAAGTAAATATGTCTTTCTGAATTTTTTGGTCAAATAGTCTAGTGCATTTCTTGTTTTCCTCTAAGTCAGTTTGAATTGAATTTCTGTCACTGACAACCAAAGGAGTCCAGCCTAATACATTCCTTTATCTCTACTATGTTATGAGTTTCCTAAGAACCGAGGTTCAGATATAGTCATCTCATAATTTCTATAGTTCTGTACCATAAGCCTCCATAGTCCCTACCTAGCAGAGTGTTTCCAAGGTTTTTATCATATGAGAACTCCTTTAAAAAAAAAAAAAAAGACTTATTTATTTATTTGCAAAAGAGCATGTAGGAGTGGGGGGAAGGAGCAGAAGGACAGGGAGAGAGAGAATCCTCAAGCAGACTCCCTACTGAGTGCAGGGTCCATCATGGGGCTCAATCCCAGGACCCCAATATCATGACCTGAGCAGAAATCAAGGGTCAGACACTTAACCAACTGAACCACCTAGGTGTCCTGAGAATTCCTTTTTGATATGAAAATATTAACAGATCTCAACACAACGGATGTTTTGCTTTTAAATATCTACGGAGTGAGAAAATATATAATAACACAAAGCTACTCTAATACTAGGGATACTTTGGTTACATGAATTTGTATTTTATGACTCACAAAGGACTTTACCTACAATTTAAAAACAGTCGTATGTAATGTGCAAATATATTATCTATTTCCTTAGACAAATTTTAATCCACACGTGGATTTGTGGTCTATGAATCTAATAACTGCCAAAGGAAATCCATAGACCACAAAACTCTTCCATGTCATCAAAAGTACTTGGAGAGGTGTGAATGAAATAATGCTTACACCCCCCAAAACTTAAAATGATCCATGACTCAATCATTCTGTCAAGGCTACTGACTCCATCTTCTCAGGGTTCTCTTTTGAAGGAGAAGAAAGTAATACAAAATATTAGTTAAGAGCTAGAAGACACGGAGCTGGCAGATTTACTCAGGTGAATGTTATAGTTTGTTAATGAGAAGTCAGTTCAAGTGTCCAGACTTCAGGTGCTGAGGACAGAGCCTCCAAAAAACCCTGTCATAACTACTTTTTAATAATTCCCCTGTGTGTTCTGAGAAAATGCAGCATAATAATACAGATAGCCCAGAGTAGCAAGACCTCTCAAAGATCCAGAAACGTCCCAAAACGTTGGCTTTGTAAAACTGTCCATCTGCTCCCTGTCTTCTAACTCTTCAGAATTTATTTGCAGCGGTGTTGCTGTTGCTTCCCCTGTCCCCACCCGTCCCCCCCACATCACTCTCACTGCACAGAAGCTGCGAGATGTGGGCCCAGGGCTGTTCTCTCCTTAGTGCCAATCCCTGGTCACATGATTGGCTCAGGTCTGCTCTTAGAAGCGTGAAGCTCAGGACATTTGCTCAGTGGCCCTGAGAAGTGATTCTCTCTCCCTCACTGGCTATGAATAAG